CTGCTCACACCCACTCCTGCTCACACCCACTCCTGCTCACACCCACTGCTCACTCTTTCTCACACCCACTCCTCACACTGCTCACACCCACTCCTCACACCCACCGCTCACACCCACTCCTCACACCCACCCCTCCTCACACCCACCGCTCACACCTACTCCTCCTCACACCCACCCCTCCTCACACCCACAACCTGCCGGGTCCCCTCGCCTTCCGGGCGTGCGCGCGGCTGACACACTCACGCGAAGAAGGGGTCGTCCTCGAAGCTGCTGCTCAGCATCCGGAACATCGTGGCTCCACGGCGGTTGGCGGGCGCGGGTGGAAATGGGCGCAGCTCGCCGCGTCGCCCCCAGCCTGCCCTCTGCTTGCCCGGCGCGTCTGCCTGCGGCCAAGGCCGCGCCCGCGACTAAGGCGGGGCCTGACGCCCCGCTGCCTCTCCATTGGCCCAGTCCCTGTGACGTCATGAAGGAGAGGCGGCCGGCTCGAGGTTGCCATGGCAACCGCGGTAAACACACGGGAGGCTGGAAGTTTGGCTCGAGGCCCGACGGGACCTTTCAGCGAGGCTCCCCAGAGACAGTTTGGTATCAGAGCCGCGGGAACCAAAACAGCAGACCAGCTCTTTATGACCTTGGCCAAATCGCCCTTGGTCCCGAGGGTTCTCTGGTGGTAGCTGATCAAATAATGAAAAAAAGTGAGAAAACGTTTTGAGTACAGTTATCAAGTAGTGTATTCACTTCTATCAGATTTCAAAAATAAAGCTAATATATGTTTCTGTGATCTAAAACTCTAAGTAATACACAAACATGTAGACATAGGATCAAAACAAAAATTCCTTTTGTTTTACTCCCTGTCCATTTCAAGGACCAGAGCTCATGTTGAAACCAAGCTTCATCTTTCCAGCATTCTTAACAGGCAGGATTTGGGCCGAGATCTGAAACAAGCAGCCGTATCTAACTAAAATTCTATTTCTATTATAGTATAAAGGAACCTTTATTTATGGCAAGGAAACTGGTTTCCATCTTGAAGCAGTGCAACACCTTAATGATACAACCAAACATTTTTAGTGATTTTCAAGAGATAGCACTGGTGAGATCTGGATATGGTATTATGGAAGAGGAAGGGGTAACATTAAAGTTACTGTACAATTGTTGATGTTTGGGATGTTTGGAAAGTGCTATAAAGGCCCTTCTGAGACCTAGAGACAGAGAAGGACGAAGGTCGATGGCAAGGAAGGGCGAAAGGTATCTGCACCCTCAATTCACTGTTCCCACACTCCCTGAGGAGTTCCCTTGAGGTGGAAGGGTGTCCATGGCTCCGAGGGCCCCGTGAGGGAGAGGTGGCATGCTGCCATGCAGGAGAAGTGTGCGGGACCTGATTTGGAAGTGACAGGAGTACTTAGGGTTATTTTTGGAGCTGGGAATTTAATCCTTTGAACCTTTACCCCTCCCCCCATTTCACCAGGTTTCTCCGCAGTCTGCTTCCCCGAGACTATTGGCTTCAGGCAGGGCAGGCTTCACAGTCTAAGATGACACGGCCCTTCCAGGAAATACACCGGCTATTTTTGTTTTCCTCTGGCCTCAGCATGATGCTCGGAGCGATGGCAAAACTTTCGGTACGACATTAGGAATTAGTTCCTGTTTGGTACGAAGCAAATGTGCGAGAGATTGTAGTTTTAAAAAAACATAGAAGGAATACAGTCAGTGGGGCATGACAAACAATAATATTAAAATACTTTTGCACAGAGGCTAAATAAAGAAAACCGTGAGAAAAAGTCCCATCTTGCTGCATGGAAGTTCACCCCATTGTTGAAACACACAGGAAATCTTGAATTCAGGGACAGGCTGGTAGGGATCCCCCAGCACATTCAAACGCACACAGTTTAGACACCTAGTAATTATACCTTTTTAAAAGGTGGAAGAAGAAAAAGACTTGGAACCAAAAGCCTCATGACATCTATAGTAAATGGAACAAAAGAAGGGTTGGGTCAGGAGAGGATGAATACCCCATTAAGGAAGCAATGGAGGTATGGAGCAGGCTGAGAGGGGTCTTGGAACTGGCTGTAAAGACAATTATAACAACTGTTAGTTGTGAAACCCTCCTGCAATTTATGTTGTGTGAGGGCGGGCTTAAAATGAAAAGGTAGTATGTGCTAACTGGCAAATTGGGAAGAGTAAGAGGGGAGGGAGCATACAGTTACAAATAGGGGGTACTACATCTTACTGAGAAAGTTAATTTGAGCAGAATGTTATAGGAAGGGCATATGTATCTTTCTGAACTTTCTAGGCTGGTACAAAGGTGCCTGATATCTGACATGTATAGTTAGCTCTACTTGTATGACTTGAAACTCACCTTCAGGGAGTAAAATAATAAGCTTTATTTATTAGGATAATAGTTCTCACTTGTTCTTCTCATGTCCCTAACACTGCCCTAAGTGCTTTCAAACACATTTTCTCATTTAAACCTTCCAATACCATGTGTACTAAGATGATTCTCCTTGATTACACATGAACACATCGATGCCCAGAGAATTGATGGCTCGCTTTAAAACTGAGATTTGTCTTGCTCCGAAGGTTATATTATCTCGGCCATCCTACTTTGCCTCCCTGTAAAGTTTACAAGGGTCATGTACTAGAATGTTTGTGTGGCAAATTGCATGTTCACACATGTAATCTCTAACCACACTCCTGCTTAGTTTCATTGGGAAAAAACACTGACCAAGTCAAGGAAAGACTTGCAGAGAAATGCATGAAATAAAGCCAATTCTGTAACTCTACTAATGACACGAAGAGTTCAAAATGTCAGTAAGAACTATGCTTTCCACCCATCACAAGTTATTTAAGAAATACGACTTATATCCCTGACGCTATTCTAGCCATTTAGAATACAAAACTCCCTCGCCCATTGGAGCTTACATTCCAGCTCATTAGCTCGTGTGTCCGAGATTCTACAAACAGTTACAGCACCTTAGAATGTTCAACATATTTCTAATATATTACCTCAAGTGCCCAAGAATGAAGAAATCATTATTTCTAGTATAGTATCTCAAGTACCCAAGAATGAGGAAATCATCGGGCTTTGAGTGCTAGATTTTTATGTTATTATATTTCTCCAGAACCCTGAGTTTTAATGGTTATAAACATCTTCGCAACTGTTGATTCTAGTGCACCCATGAACTCTGTACCCTAGTCTAAATGCCTCTTTCAACAGTGCGTAGATATTACACCTGACACACATCCCAGAGTCACCTGGGAAAAGGGAACCCCAAATGAGCTATGGCTTCAGTCAGATTGGCCTGTGGTCAAGCTTTGGAGGAATTGTTTTGATGGATGATACATGTGTGATGTATCCCTAGCACGATCCCTAGGTATCTGAGCCTGTGCTGTATAAGAGAGCCAGTAGAGCAAGCAAGCCAGGAAGCGGCACCCCTCCATGATCTTCACTTCGATTCCTGCTTCTGGGTTCCTGCCTCCAGCTTCTTCCCTGACTTCCCTCAGGGAGAAGCTGTTACCTGGAGGCATAAGCTGAAATAAACCCTATCCTTCAAAAATTGCTCTGAACCATGGCGTTTATTGCAGAAACAGAACGAAACTAGGACAAACGTGCTCTAAGAACGAGATAGCAAATCCAACGCATAATTTGTCCTGTGCCAACCATGCAGGGAAACATAATAACTTGGAGTAGTTGGCATATGTAAACATCACCAAGTTACAGATGTGAAGGTATATTTTTCTTTTTTTTTTTAAAAAGATTTATTTATATTATTTTATGTGTCTGGGTATCTTGCCTAGATGCACAGATATGTGTACCGCATGCATGCATAGTACAATGGATTCCCTGGAACTGGAGTTACAGACAGGTGTGAGTTGTTAGGTGGGTGCTGGGAACTAGACCCAGGTCCTCTAGAGGAGCAGCCAGTGCTCTTAACTGCTGAACCCTCTCTTCAGCCCCAAAAGAGCTTTTGGGGGGATTTGAGACAAGGTTTCTCTGTGTAACTGTTGTCGGGGACAATTCCCAGCTGCTCAGACCATGAAATAATCACTCAGAAACTGTATTATTTGCAATTCTGTTTTCCCAATAGCTTGAGTGTATTGCTAGCTAGCTCTTACATCAACATTTAACCCATTTCCATTATTTGATATTTTATCACGAGGTTCGTGGCCTATCAGCAAGGTTCCAGCTGGGATCTCACATCTTTTCCCTCTGGCAGCAACGTGGCATCTCAAGACTCAGCCTTCTTTCTCCCAGCATTCAGTTTAGTTTTCCCTGCCTAGCTCTACTCTGCCCTATCACAGGTCAAGGAAGTCTCTTTATTCATTAATCAATAAAAAGCAACATATATACAGGAGGACTTCCCACACCATGTAACTGTCCTGGTTGTCCGGAAACTCACTTTTGTAGACCAGGCTGG